ATTAAATTAAACCAATTTATGATATAATTTACATTTTATATGATGTAAATTATGTTAATAATCAATTTATTCACTTCTATTTGAGTAAGCGTTTCTTATCGTTTTTGCTAAGACATTCGAGTTAATTCCTCTAAATTGTGGTATGCACCATTTAAAAAATATTTATTATACTTTAACAGTTAAAAAATAGAATATAATCTTTGGTATTATATACGTTAATACTTGAACTTAATTTAAAAAAATACTTTGTTCATTTATTTGTACCAGTTTATTTTTATGACTTATTTAAATATAAAAGCACACTAATAGGGACAGGCACACTAATAGGGACACTTACCCTAATTCACATTGTGAAATAATTAAAAGCGCTTTCAAAATTTTTCTCGCATCTTCTACTTGACGACAGAGTACAATCTGTCCAATAACTGCTAGATAAAAAGTGCGAACTGATTTTGAAACAGATTTTAGATTATCGGAATATGTTTTTATAAAATGAGCGATATCTATACGAACATAACAATCTGGTACTGTATTTCGGCAAGCATCCGCATATCGCTCAATTGTTGGATAACCAGTAAATTCTTTTATTACAGCTGTTAATAAAGTTCGTGACGCGTCTGTCACGACTTCTTTAGGATAAGGAGCACCTACTCTACACCATTCCATTAACCAAAATCTAATAAAAGTTGAGGTTTGCATTTCAGTAAGAAATTGTGAAATAGAAAATTGTCCGGCATTAGAATTAATAACTGCGTGATACAAAAAAATGTAATCGGATGATGTTTTATTTGGTCTATTTAATCTTGGAACTCTAACACCACTTGCGTCAATGTATAAACTAACATGTTCGAGTTTTAATAATCTTTTATAAATATGAATTTGATGTGATGTAAAATAAATGACAAAAAATGGATCTTGTCCTATAGCGTGCACAACGTTTCTTCCAACGGGTGTAGTTTTTAAAATTTCGAGAGCTTTTATTGGATCTGGATCGAGATAATCCGAAGCAATTTTCTCATGTTTTGCTTTGTGCAAAACATTTACTGTATATATAATAAAGGTGCTTCAAGCCATCCTGGAGATATAAGGCGCTTTGCCTCCTCAGCTCTAAAAAGCTCCACACTTTTTTGACATAAAATTTCTCCAACCTTCTTTCGATGAGCACCTCTCAAATTTCGTTTTCCACATTCCAGTCCAATTCCAGCTGTTAATCTACATTCAATTTTTACATAATTATTATAATTTTTTAAAATGCCTCGAAAAATTGACCCACAATTTTCCTGAAAAATTATTAAGAATTACATAATATATGGTACCTACTACATAAAACACTTAGTATTGTTTAAAAAAGAAACTGAAAGAAGTTTTTTAAAGAAAATTTCTACTATTATACAGGGTGTCCGGTAATAACCGCCCAAAATCTCTGGTAGAACTGATTAAACTGAATCGAAAAGTCCTCTACCATTTTGCAAAATTCGCAATCGTTAACGAGATATTAATTTTTGAAGATTGGCGAATAAACGCGTATCCTTCCTACTGCTGAATGCAGGCGTGCGGCGAGATACGACCGCTCCATCGCTGGTAGTTGCTAGCCCAGCTAGCCGGTAGTTGACGAGCGGTGGGGCGGTCGTATCTCGCCGCGTGCCTGCATTCAGCGGTATGGCGGACGGATACGCGTTTATTCGCCAATCTTCAAAAATTAATATCTCGTTAACGATTGCGAATTTTGCAAAATGGTAGAGGACTTTTCGATCCAGTTTACT